ACGAATTGATAGTAATCTTATCTAAGATAAGTTATCTATTTGTCGAAGGTCGAACACTCAAAATTTCCACAGATTTACTATTATATTTATATTTATTCGCCAACAATATTACAGTCTATCAGTGAAATTATAATCACTATTAATATTTTTAGAAATTGGATGGAAATTATGATTTTACGAACAAGTGATTTAAACAAGTAGCTTAAATGTATATAAATATAATATGTTGTATACCATTGTTATTGCAAGAAAAAATCTAATTGAAAAAAAATTAAAAATGCATTTTATGCATATTTTAATTTTCAAATAAACACAAAGGATCTAATCTTGATGATTTTCTGGGGAGGTCATGACCCCTATGACCCTCCACTTGGATCTGCGCCTGAATACAAACAGTAAAAATCAAATCACTTTTTAGGAGCCAAAAAACCAAAAATATTTAACACAACATAAAAAACAATCATATCATTAATTATATATATCATATAATCATATAGGTAATTAAAATTATCTAATAATAATAAACTCTTTATAAATCCCGTTCATAATTATAAAATACAATGTATAATTCAATTTAAATTAATCACTCTAATTTTATTTCAAAATATTCAAATTTTAATTAAAATTATTTTTATGTTTCTTTTCAGAACTTGGATTTTTTTTTTTATTCATTTAAATATTCGTTCAATTTACTGCTACTGAGCAATTTATTAAACTCAACACACGCCTGTACTTGTCCACCGGGATACCGGGCGTTTTCATTCAATAATTGAATTAAATAAATCATTTAAAATGTACAGATATGCCGTACGTGTAATATTTTTTAAGCTTTAGAAAATTTAATTTTGACAATATTGGTATTTTAATAAATTTTGACTGTAAAATTTTAATTATTCAATTGTTGTTTTAAAAATATTGATCGTACCCACTCATTTTATGATTTTTTAAATATTTTAATGAACTTTGCACTGTTTATAGGCACTTGAAATTTTTGATTAAAGTTAAACCTATCTTACTAAGAAATTTGATTCTAATAGTATATAACCATACAATAATGCTCGTATTCGTCAACATTTGATCGAAAATATCACGCTTAATGTAATATTAATTTACATTTTGGTACATCATTGGACATTCATCGAATGTAAAAATATATTTTATCATTTACATGGTGGCTTAATAATGAAATATTTTGTACATTTAATTAATTAAATATGAAAAATTTATTAAACTTAAAATGTTTTTAACATAATAATATTAACTGTGCCTTATTGACTAATAGTCAATTGTTCACTGCATTTTATCAAAATAAAAATCAACAGTGGTGATTAACTTCACCGAAGAGTTCTGTACTATAATAGTAACTATTTCTTTTTTCAAACATTTCATATTATTAGCTATTTCTGTTTTATCAAAAGCTTTTGCTCTTCAACATATTTTTTCAAAAAGTTATCGACTATACTTGAAGATATTCTTAACATTTTTTTCCTGTAATGTTTTGACGTTTTATCCCTATATTCAAATTCTCTAGCCATGTCCTGGTCAGAAGCAATAGACTTCTGCTTCTGTAATTGAGTTTTCTCTAAAGATTTCCTAAGTTTAACGATACGCTGTTCTGAAATTCGATAAATATTTGTAGTTTTATGGGTTTTATGTAATATATATATATGACTTTGGACTTATATATCATCTATAAAATAAACTTACTCTTAGGCTTGTCAACCGGGGAAATTGTCTGAGTTAGTTCATATAACTTAATATACTTAGTTTTTATTTTCTTAGATTTTCCAGGTCTTATGTTTGTATTTTTCGGTTTATCACCGAGATTGTTTTCAATTTGTTGTGATCCATTTAAGGTAAGACGTTCTATCGATAAAATGTCCATTACTAATTATTTTAAATCTGATAGTTATTGAATACTTCAACTTTAGCTTGACACTCTTTTATAATATAATTATATGAAATCTATAATACACGTTGATGATTATAATAGTTGAATTTGAATTATTTGAAAAATAATTTGAATTATTGTTAGAACGATCACTTTTATAAGAATGAACAAAAATTAATGTATCAATATATTGTGAAATAATACGTTTCTATGGATACGTATAATGAAAAAAAAAAAATATATATATATATATATAGGTATATATTTAATAATTATATATACGAGTATTTTCGATTTATATGGACTTGAATCAAAGCGTCACCTATTTTATTGCCAATTTATTGAAATCTCGTGGTTTTGTGAATTTTAAGAAAAAATGTTTTTATAACTAGTCTATAAAAATATACCATTTAGCGGAAAAATACATGATTAGTTACACTAACCAATTGTCATTTTCTGCCAAAATATTTTTTTATTATTTTATTATTAAATATTTATTTTACAATTAAGGAAAATCAGTATATATGAGGTAGAAACTATAACAAGTTTTAGGTTGTGTGATTAAAAAGCTATCTATTAGTGATACTTATCTTGGAATTTAGCAAATATAATTAAATAAGAGAGAAGATCTCTACGCTATTTTTATTTAAGCTTGCGACAAGGCAAGTGTTAGCAAATATTGATGGGGGAACTTCATAAATATACAAATTTGCCGACTCCTTTCTAAAACAGAATTCTACAATACTTAACTTAATTTGTTAATGATTGCCGGCCGTATAAATAAATCAATCATAGGTTGGGTTTTTGCACCCTCAATTCCTACCCCTAACACCGGCTCTAGCCTGCGACAAGGATTTCCATGAAATAAAGGAATGTTATTATTACAGACTTTTTATTAGTGGATTTTCGTGATTTTCTTATCTATTTACCAACTACTATCACTATTATTTATTGTTATCCTCACTATAGTTTTTCTTTAAAATTTTACGTTTATTGTTTAATAAATTATATTTCTACTTTTTTTGTTCAAATTATGATTAATGCTGTACCTTAAACTTTATTAAAGAGTTTCTTTTACTTTTTTCTATTTGAAACTTTTGAATTACTTCTGTTAGCATAATAAAGAAATACAATCTCAGAAGATATCAAACATGGTATTATAAAACTAATAGATCCTAGTTTTCCAACATTGAACACATAGTGATAGAAAAATGATTAAAAACTCATTAAACCAGCAGCTATTTCAATAGTTAGAACTGTCCGCGGAGATGAGATTGCTAACAAATTAGAATTAATCCCGCTTTTGGATAACACTGTTAAACGAAAAATAAACCTTATGTCTGAAAATATTTTAAAACAGCTAATATATTAAGTGATAGCAGCAACTTTTCAATAAAAATTGATGAATCAATTGATACACAAAATAACGCAGAATTGATGGTATTTATAAGTTATCGAAGTATTGACGATTTTAGCAAAGAATTTTTATTTTGTGATCCTCTTCTAACAGCGACAACTGGCTTAGATATTTTTAAAAATGTTGATGGATTTTTTCGGAAAAATAATTTAGCGTGGAGTAATTGCGTTAGAATTTGTTCTGACGGTGCACCGGCAATGTTTGGATATCGAATAGGATTTTGTAAACGAGTGAAGGAAGTTAATTCCAATGTTGTAATTATTCATTGTTTCTTACACAGAAAAAATTTGGCTACCAGAGCAATTCAGCCAGAACTTTTTTCAATGCTTCAAGATGTAATTCAAATAATCAATTTTATAAAAGCAAAAGCATTAAACTCAAGAATATTCCATGCCATGTGTGATGAAATGCGATCACAGTTTGTAAATTTACTTTATCATTTGAATGTTCGTTAGTTTTCTCGTGGAAAAATTCTTACCCATGTTAAGTCTTTGCATTTAGAAATATATTTTTTTCTAACGAAAAAAAACCATACATTGGCTGATAAATTCAATGACTAGTCGTGGGTTGCCAAATTGGCTCTTTTAAGTGATATTTTTGGACGGTTATAATTATAGTATAGTTGAATATTGAAATGCAAAGAAAAAATAAGACTATGGTTGATATTGGAGAAAAATATCTTCATACAAATAAAAGTCCGCACTTTGGTGCGAAAAACTGTCATAAAGAAAAATTGCCTCATTTCTTCTTCTAAGTGAAGTTCTTGAAGATTCAACAAAAGTTACATTAGATGACTTAAAATTATTGCTTCAAGAATACTTGAACATATTACAGTTAGAACTCGATTAATATATACCAGAAAATATAGAGCTCATTAAATACAGTTGGGTGAGAAATCCATTTGAAATTTCCGTTCACGAAGTTGGTAAAGATATTTAGATATTTGCGGATTCCAAGAAGAACTTTACGACCTTCAGGCTAATTGAGTTTTAAAAGAAAATTGTTTTCAAAAGTGCCTAACTCAATTTTGGGCACAGTTAAAAGATAAACCTATTTTAACAAGAGAATCTGAAAAACATTACTACCATTCCCAATCACGTATTTATGTGAATCCGGATTTTCTGCTCTAATTGTTATTAAAAGAAAGTATAGAAATCACCTTGAAGCTTATGCTCTATATGCGATATGCGATGTGCACTTTTAATGATTATACATCTAAATATTGAAGAACTTGCTAAGCTAACCTTTAATAATGTTCAGCATCAAGGAAGTAATTAAATTAAGTATTAATTAATTCCATGTTAAATTTGATACAAATAATTTGTTTATACTATTATTAGTCTTAAATTGATCAGTTTTTAATTTATAATTTTTTAAATTTTTTTCATATTGGTGATTTGAGGATATATATATATATATATATATATATATATATATAAGGGTGGTCGTTATTTATATGAGTGACATTTTTTTTTAATACATATTATTCCGTATCCCATAAATTTGTTAAGTTACACGAGAAAGTAATTTTGATGAAATTTGGAAGATGTGAATCAACCCCGAATCAGGGTTGAAATAAGGCAATTTAGGGTGGTTTTAGAGTTTTTTTAGTTTTATTCAAAAAATATAGGAATAAGCATAAAAATGTATTGAAACTTATTTAAAAAAGTACAAAAAAGTATATAACAAAAATTTTCATATTTTTATTATTTTCTAGAAAAAATTTGAATAAAAAAAAAAATAATTTTTTTATCAAAATTTTTTTCCTTTCATTTGAGTATATTTATAAATGGTTTTATAACCGTAATTATTTACGATAAAGTATCTTTTATAAATATTGTATAAAATTTAATTTCCTGAAAAATTGTATTTTATCAGAGTTTTGTTAGAGTAACCGTTATGATATAATAGTTTAATTTACCAGTATCAAAAAAAAAAAAAATTAAATAATAATAATAATAATAATAATAATGATAAATCAAGAATAATTGTTGCTTAGCTCATAAAATATTAATATATTTTGAATATTAATTTATATACTTCAGTTTAAAATATAATATTTTATTATAATTTACATATCGATGGCGTAGCGCACAAGTTTGATAAGTGACATTTTTTTGAAAAATGAGTTAGGATCAAGAAGAAAAAATATAAAATAATTATTTATACATGTATAGTAAAAATGTATTACAAATAATATAGAACACAAATTGTATACATATATTGTTAGGTACATTAAGAATAGTTACGTTAAATAAGAAATTACACGACATACATTGTGCAGTATATCGTCCCAATATGAATTACTAATTGCAACGTTTTGCATGATAATAAATAGATTTATTGAAATTTTCTTAGTATGTTTCGTTATAACTATTGTTTTGATTTATTTTTTATGAAATTAATAAAAATGATAAAAAAAAGCACATAATCTAAGTACCACGGTATTAATGCACACGAGGTATTGAAATTAGTATACTCATTGTATAGCGCACTCTGTGTACGCGTGTGTATACCTATTAGATATTACCTATACATAGTATAGAAGTTAATCATATTCGAACGACACTATTCAATATCGTAATTGTATTCAAACTTAACCAAAAGTTAATATATACAATACATATGTATACACTATACAATGTCGTGATAGCTGGAAATTCTCGGATAACACTATGTTGTTTTAAGTTTTTATCCACGGGCGCACATTTAAGACACTTTTTCAGCTCAAAGGGCATCGAGTAGCATGTAGTTTTCGCTTAAGTGGCACGAACGCGAATGCGCGTTCATTCGAACAAAAGGGAAAATAATTTTTTAAGGACTCGTAAAGATTCTCGAGGATCCGCATTTTTATCCGAACGGTATAAAAATTCGCCGGGGATAAGAGAAACCCTGTGGCCTGCAAGTGGACGAACGCGCCGTCGGTCATTTCGAATCCATATTATATTATAATATTCCGTTGTTAACATCGACCGTTTCGACGACGGTCGTGGACCTCTTTTCACTATTCTCAGATCCAAGAGTTATCGGGATTCGAACGTGTATTGTTTGCACCTACACAAACTTAAAACGGAACCGTTGCGGGGACGAAAGAATGAACAGAACGTATGTCAAGTCAAGTGTGTTTATGTGTGTGTGTGTGTGTGTGTGTGTGTGTGTGTGTTTTTCATGCGGTCCCAGTCGTTGAGCAGTTCGGTTGGCGTACGCTCACGTACACGGGCCGGTACAGGACGATTTGTTCGGTCTGCGACCCGTCGTAAACGTGACCTCCAAGCAAGAACTCCGGTCCGATGTATCTCCCGCCCTCCACGTGGTCGCATGCCACACCTATGTTCAGAAAAATATTATTAAAACGACATGCATTATAAACAGTATCGTTTCAAGTACTACTGTAAAACTTCTTTACAACGGAATCGCTCGAGACCGACTGATTTTTCCGTCATAAAAAAGTTTCCTCTGTAAATGAGAAGATAAAAAAATATATTTAAAAAAAAATTCGAAGTTAGAAGTAAGTATCAAAGTAAATAATTTAAAAACAAACATATTTTAGTTGGTTACATAATAGATCTTTATTTCATCATACAACAGCTATTGTACATTTATAGTTTAGAAATATAATTTATAATATTTGTTTATTTTTTGATTATTAAGGGCAATGTATACTCAAGTATCTTTTGTTAATTATTTCAATTATTCAGTATCACGAGTACATTCAGTATCTTCTGTCATACATGGGAGCCCGTTATAAAGAAGTCTTACTGTATTGCATTTATATAATAATATTTCATAATCACCAGTATTTTTTTTTCGGTGCATAGTGTTTTGGTCTTTATTGATACGTTATTACGATATTTCAGTCTTATGGGGGCCCGTTATAAAAAGGTTTTAATGTATTATATTTACCAATTGAGGGTGAAAACAGAAAGCGGTTTTGTATAGGGAAAACGACGAAAAGTATTTGGGCAATTTTTTTCTATAAAATATCTATAAAAAAACTAAAAATATCTGCAACAACATTTAATCAGAGGAAAATTAAAAACTGTACACAATTGCGTAAATTTCTTAGATTTTACAATAAATTATAATGAAAAAATAAATCGTTTATTTGTAAACGCAAGCACGTGTATAACACAATGTATTGAATTAACTTGATAATATTATAATTTGATTCCGATTTCATTTACGAACCCTCAGTCAAATGACACTAATACATAATTTGAAGTCGCTTCTATATACACGACGAAATCATTTATTTTATGAAACGGATACAAAACGGATATTATACACCTAGAGTGACTTTTTATATTAATCGAGTCTATCCGCATTTTACGCGATAAAAGGTTGTTTTTATTTTGAAAAACAATGTTCAATTTGCTTACATACAACATATAACAAATTGTATCACCATGCAAAATAAAGTCTTATCATTTGGTTTATTTTTATGATTATTTTAATTTATAATTGTATTTATTTGCTTTAGATTCTGAATGAGACAAGAATGTATTAGTTTTACTATGACGTGTGTTTAAATTTTTTAGTTTTAGTGTCTGTAATTCTTTTTTTACGATTTTGATCAGAAGGATTGCTCCGATCATCACCAAATAAAAAGTTTAAGATGGTAAATGGGTTTAACTGAGTGATTATGGAGGTAATTTTTTAAATTTTTCAAACATTTTCTGAATAATTGAGAAAAATGGACAAAATTACAATAAAATTCATGAGAAATGGTTTGAAAATGAACACAACATTTTTCTTCTTAACATTTTCTGTGTAGCCAAAAATGAATTAAAGTCATAAAAAGTTCTATAAGTGTAACAATATGAAATGCTGACGAAATTGAATGTTTCAACGGATTTCCATTAGTTATTCAGTTGTTATTCTATATAATTTATATCAGTTTGGTTCTTTTACTATATCAATCGTTCATCCGATTCAGTCGCGTATTTAGACTTACTTCTAGGGCGGGAACTCAAATGTTTTCTTTAATTCAGGCTCAAAATTTACAAGTAAAATTTTTGGTAATATTTAAATCAAATGAATCCTTAATATTTGTGGTTTTTTTTTTTTAACTTAATGCCGGATCCATTTACAATCGATTTTTGTGTAGTTCTTTTTAAACATCTTTCTGTGTTTTGAAAGTTACGCTTGTCTTTTATTTGATTTTTCACTGAGTATGGACCCGACAAAAAGTCCAATTCATTAAATTTAACATTGACCGTGATGTTACCACTGATCATTGGTACTGATACTGATAAAATATAATACATACATCATCATACGCGTCCGTTCACCTTCAATTATTATATTTCAATAGGTTTTTCTGTAATTTTTCTTATCATTCATTCGTATTTTATGACAAACATTTTTGTAGGAAATCAAAATTGTTAACTAATTCAATTTCGTTATAAAACGATATACATTAAAAACAATTTGAAATGTGCTTCTCATATATAATTGATTCCTTAAATACGGATTCAGAGGGGACTGCCCCCTTCGTCCCTCCCTAAAATACGCCACTGATCCTACTTCTTTCACATAGAATACATTTACGTGAGCAATGGTACATTAATTTTAAGATTATAAGACTAATATAGCAAAATGAATCCCATCCCACTCATCCCAGTACCGCTTTTCACATTTTTTTTTTTTTATTTATCTTGTAAGAAAAACTTCGGTAACTATATGATTATTAATTCTCAGACTTTTAAGTAGTGACAATTAAATATTACTTAAATGTATATTATGGGTGTTTTATTTTCATTTTGTTTCTCAAATCGATTGAATAAATTATTTTATCTTTAAGAACTCGAAACAGTTCAAGTCATATGACAAGGTGTATTATTATGCTATGAATTAATTATTATTAGAATATTATTATTATTCAAGCACAATAATTAAAATTAAACTTGTATTAAAGGGTGAGTGGAAAATTTGTATTTTTCTGATTAGAATTGTGTTGTTTGTATAAGGTCACAATTTCATTTTATGAATGATTCGACTTGTATTTTCATCGATATTTGTTACGTATATTCAACAATGCAACATACATATAATTCCCTATTTTTTCACGTGATAACCCCTTTGAAGGAGCAGTCGGATAATAATGATATATACTTAGAATGATATTACCAGTATGCATTTAATAAAATAAGTAGTGAGGCTATACCAGTGATTATTTTTTTTTTTTTTTTTTGGTGGGGGGGGTAGTGGACAAAAGTGGAAAAAAATTTACAGCATTAGTTTAGTTCAATATTAATCTAAGGCTAGTAACTTCTTGGAGTTAGCATGTTTTTCAATAATCATTCAAAACATAGCTAAGTTATATAGACATTTGTTTTATAGTCATACAGGATTATTTACAATTTTTAGTTGCATATTTTGCATATTTAACTTTTTTCATTTTTAAGTGCATATTAGACCAATTTTGATACAAATATGTAAGTTTTTTTTTTTTTTACCTATTTATTAAAATTATTATTTTTTTTTTTTTATTATTTAAGAAAAATTTACAATCTATAAATAATTTATATAATAAGTAAATATGATGAGATGAATATTACAGGACATGAAAATCTTGAGGGAAGGGAGTGTCCAGTGACACTACTTCCAATTTAAACTTAGTGGGGAGGTAACTTTATAATAATAGCACTAGACATTATTTAATAAATCACGCGGCCATTTGCGTTTGAGGCGACGAGGGGGCAAATCAGGTATTGTGCAAGAAGAGAGTTTAGATATGAGTGGGTTTGGATGGTTAAAGATATTTTTATGAAATTTGTTATAATGATAAGAGGCAAGAGTGGATATTGATGATATGTTAAGATCATGATGTAGGGTGCGGTTGCTGATGTACCAAGGAGCATTAGAGAGGACACGCAGAGATATTGATTGGAATGCTTGGAATTTGATTAGGTTTGAATTTTTAGTGATACCCCACAGTTGTATTCCGTAAGTCATTGCTGGACGTAATATTTGTTTATATATTAGTGTTTTGTTATTTAAAGAGATTTTGGATCGAAGAAGTGGTCTTAATTTGTGAAGCCTGAGGTTAAGGGAAGTTCTTTTAGCTTTGACGTGATTAGCCCAAGTTAGTCTTTTGTCGAGAAGGAGTCCTAGGTATTTAACTGAATTGACAATGGGAATTGTTTGGTTATTTATGTAGACTGGAGGAATTGTTGTAGGCCTGAGGGTAAAAGTGATGTGAGTGGATTTATTTTCATTAACTTTAATTTTCCATAAGCTGAACCAATCTTGTAGTTGGGTTAGGTGATCTTGAAGATTGTTTGTAGTGGTGGCTATTTCGGAGTTGGTTGATATTATGGCTGTGTCATCGGCGAAGGTAGCTAGAGTAGTGTTGATAGACTGTGGTAGATCTGCTGTATATATATTATAGAGAGTCGGGGAAAGAATACTGCCTTGAGGGACGCCTGCTTTTATAGGATGTGGGCCAGAAGTTTCGTCTTCACATCTTACTGAAAAAGTACGGTTTGATAGGAAGGATTTGAGTAAGAGGAATAACGGAGTGGGTAAAAATAATAATTTGAACAGTAGTCCTTCGTGCCGGACCCGATCAAACGCCTGAGCAACATCAAGAAAAATCCCAGAACAAAATTTTTTTTTTTCAAGAGATGAGGCAATAGTGTCGACTAGTCTGTGTAGTTGGTGAAGAGAGGAGTGCTTACTCCTAAAGCCGAATTGAGCGTTTGGAATAATTTGTTTATCGTTAAGTATCGGATAAATTCTTTTTAATATGATTTTTTCTAAAATTTTTGAGAAGGTAGGAAGTAAGCTAATAGGCCTATATGAGGAGGGTTGGTCAGGAGGTTTTCCTGGCTTGTAGATTAGGATGATAACTGAGTGTTTCCAGATGGGAGGGATATAGGATAGACGAAGAATGCTATTGTAAATATAAGTGAGAAGTAAGATTGCTTTCTTAGGCAGGTATTTAGCAATAGTATTGGTTATCAGGTCGTGGCCTGGGGATTTATTATTTTTTAAGTTTTTAATGATATTTAGGACTTCAGAAGGGGAGGTATGTTTTGTAGGGAGACACATTGGGAGAGTGTTTAGGATTGATGCTTCAATATTAGAGCAGTGGCTTCTAGTGAGAAAGTTTGGGTGTGGTGAGAATCTATTTTCAAGATCTGATGCAAATAAGTTTGCTTTGTCAAGATTTGACGAGGCTAGGGAGTTGTCGGGGTACCGTAGGGGAGGTATTTTACTTTTTTCCTTTAGGATGTTTTTAGTGGCTTTCCAAAGAGAGTTGTCTGTATTAGAGAGAGATTCCAAGTAGTTGTGAAATTTGTCAGAATTGTATTTTCGAAGAATATTTTTTAAAGAGTTGTTGAGAGTGTTGAAATTCTTTTTATCACTCGGCAAGTGTGTTCTTTGCCATATACGGCGGGCTCGACGCTTTTCTGTAATGAGTTGTATTATGTGTGAGGGTAAAACATTGGTTGTGTGAGTGGAGGAAGAGTTGTTTTTAGAAGCATCGAGTGCAGCATCTTGAATGATATTTGTGAAACAGTGAACTGCAGTATCTATATCAGATGTGTTCTTTGAGGAGATGTTGAGAGTGATGGCATTTTCTATAGTTTGACTCAATTTTTTCCAGTTTGTTTTTCCCGGAGTGATAGTTGAGCGGTTTTTTGTAGCAGTTGAAGTATCGTTTAGAGTGAGTAATATTGGTGTATGGTCAGAAGAGAGGTCTGAGGAATTGGTAATAATATACTTTATATGGCTAGGGAGCGTAGTGATAAAAAAGTCTAGAACGTCGGGACGTCTATTGGCATGTGAGGGCCAATATGTAGGGTAAGGAGGAGATATTATTTTAAGATAATATGTAAGTTTTAAAAATATTTAATAAAAAATTATAAGGACAATTATTCGTTACTACAAGTTTTTTTTACTATAAAATAAAATTTATATATATATATGAGACCTGGTTTAAATTTTTAAATAAACACCATTTAGCAAAAACCAATATTTATTAAATAATTTAAAGTTTAAAGTTTAAACAACAAATTCTAAACTCCGCTTCGTCTTATTTGCGAAGCGGTCTATCACTAACTGTATTATATTATTTACATCTTTGTGAACATGTATTTTATAATGTTTACATTTTACACAACAAACGCGTGTATACCATAGAAATTAATAAAACTGTTGGAGAATGGAAAATGAATATCTAGCAGTAACAACAGACTTTGGGCCTTGGAGGTGGCAAATACCCCTTTGCCCCCCTGGATCCACTCCTTAGCTATACTTTGTCCGTTCCGCAATGTTGTTTCTGTTGAAGATTTTAATCGGTTAGAACTTTTGGGGTTGTATGTGTAGTTTACTAGGGATAATGTATTTTAAAACTAAATAAACAGCACATAAATTGCCGTTGTATAATCATTACAAAACGAAAATGTGTCCGATGATTTTTTATTTTAAAAAGTGTTATGGTTTTATAAGTGTAGGAATAAAAAAGCATACCCATTCCGGGCCACCGTGAAAGAAAACCTTTAATAGACGTGTCTTGTTGATCAATTCATTGCATAGATTATTACAACTATTGCAATATATATTAATATAATAATGTATGTATGATAAAAAAATGTACATTTCTCGCATACTTACTGTAGAAAATCTGTGGAGTTTTATTGCAGTTTGGTATCCTGAACGGCACCGTGGCTATTGTTATAGGGAATGTTATATTGAGGTCTTCGTCTCCTTTGCCCAAGTCCACGCAAACCTAAAACATGATTATTGTATAGAAATGAATTGTAAATAATCGTATATTACAGATGGTTAAAGGCAGTTCCATATGTGAAATCGAGAAAAGTTTCCGTTTTAAAATAAGAATAGAAAGTTTTTTTTTATTCTATACAATGACCCAATAGGTTTTTTTTCGATTGCAATCTTATAATTTTTTTTAAACGAAACTAAATTCAAGTAGGTTTTCAAGTGAGTTTGAAGTCTTGGAAATTATAAACTATATCAAAAGAAAAAATAACGCAAATCATCTATAGTGTTATGGACTATGTGCAGTAGTATTAAATTCTTTAACTCAAATCGTTTGGGAATTAAACTCGCTCCCCTTCACCGATAATCATCAACGAGACCACCGATTTTTTCGATATTGAACTACAAGGTTGATATCAAACGTCTTAAATTTTTTCGATGTTTTTGTCTACTGATTGTATATTTACTATACATAACACGCATGATAGTCGGGTTGATTAATTTCGAGTGAACGTTTTCTTTATTCATTTATTCGAGAACATAATCAGACTGAACAAATTTGCGTAGGGCTAACGAGATCAGAATTTACAATAAAATATTTAAACATACCATTGTATGTAAAATATATAAATTATTGTCTTTGGTTTATCATTGTTTCTATTTCAACACAACTATGTTTCATTTAAAATTATGTATATATGTATATATCTGTTACAGATTTAATATTAATTAGTTGTTATAATTTTTACAAACGTTTGACAGTTTGACGTTTACAAACGTTGTACATTCATATGTACATTTTGATTATGACATACAATATTTTATAAAGCAGTGGTCGGCAACCGGTGATCCGCATTAAATTCCAAAATTATAAAATTTCATTGAATGTGAGCATACTAGTTGCTTCCCAAAATATATGAATTCTTCCAATCCTTATGGTAAATAAAAAGATTATTATACACTATAGTGTATAACTATAGTTACTATAGTAGATGACTAGGTAGTTCATATTAAGTTGCTTTTCGTATAGAATTAAGTAGTGGTTCTTATACTTAATAATAATGATATATTACAATTATATACAATTTTATACAATTATAGTTATTATATATTTATATAAATAATAAGTACACAATTATATTAAAAATGCAAGAAAAAATTTGATAATTTTATAATAATAAATCAATAAAAAAACAGGTGATTGTACTTATAATTAGTCAATAAAACAAAAATATGGTAATATAATGGTAAAAAAAAATACTTATAACATTGTTTACGTTTATATTTTTATATTTTATCGTAGGGTTGTTAGAAGAGAGCAAAATATGTGTAAAATTGGATAGTATAATATATATTATAATTTTAAATATTATTTAAGAACATCAAAAAAAAATAGGTGGTGATTGTCGTGTCGGTTCTTTCAAAATTGAGGTAATTGTTTAGTTGGAACTTGGATATAATCATGCGGGTCGCTGTATTCTATTTTTCCCGGGCCGGTCAGATTATGCCTATTCGCCCCTGACTGTTACAGAAAAAAATTCCAGGCTATATTGATTTTAAATCAATCAATGACATAATGAGTGGCAGACACCCTTCTAAAAATTTGGAATTATCGCCTTCTGATATTATGCGCTTCAATATGTTTTAATCGACCGATGTAGGTTAATGTGAAACGATCATTTAGTCGTTTTAAAAATCGTTTTAGATCTAATAGGCGACGTTTAATATTTGATAATTTAAAAGATATTGTAATAATTCAATGCAAAAAATCATTTTGATAATTTAATAATTATATTATTATTTTTTTTTAAATTAAATTTTTTTCTCACATACTTGGATATTTTTAGCACATATTTTAGAAATTATACTTACATACATATGTACATATTTCTGTATTTTTATTACATATAAATCCGTTTCTTAATCATTACATTTACGTTTGTAACCCATACCAACTTTTCTCTTAGCTTTCATAGCGTTAACAACACTGTATTTATTTTATAGAAATATCAGTAACCTTAACTCTTTGCCAAGCCTGTTCTTTCAATAATTTATCAGCTTTATGTCTAATATCTAAGATATTACAGTTTTCATAAGCAATGTCTTGTGTTCGTCAAGCAGAGTCTAACAGATTGATTCCCATATCTCCTCTAGCTAATCTCTCCTTTAACTTGGTACCAGGTCCACAATAACTATATCCAGGCATATAAGCTTCGAATGGAAGTCTATTTATAACAGAATTTAAAAAGCCTTTACCAGTTTTAGCACACTAAACTTTGTGAGTTGAACGCATTATACTGAACTGGTTTATATTTTAAAACTATAAGATATTTATATGTGGGAGGAAAAAATGAGATTAATTGAGCAAAAAAATAAATTTAACATTGAAAATGTAGATGTACAAATTATTAAAAAGCCGTCAAGACATGACCTGTTATTACCGGATAGTATACGTGGAATATTTGTAGGACCTTCAGGATCTGGGAAGACAAATGTTATTTTCAATTTTGTTTCTCACAGAAATGAGTTAAGATTTGAAAACATTTATTTATACTCTAAAACACCAAACCAGGAGAAATATAGGTTATTATAAAACATTGTAGATAGTACTCGTATTAAATGTGTTCATTTATATACGTTTCAAATGCTGATAGTCATAAAACCAAATTTAATTAAAAAAAATTCAATTTTTATATTTGATGACGTAATTTGCGATAGACAGACACCTACTCGTAGTATGAGAAGACATTTTGGTTCTAATTCTATATTTTATTTAGCACAAATGTACTCGAAAATGCCAAAAAATCTAGTGAGAGACAATGCAAACTTTTTAATATTATTTTAGCAGGATGATAAAAATCTACGTCATATTTTCGATGACCATTATTTTGCAGACATTAATTCCATAGATATTATATAATCCATTGATTGTATATTGTAACGAGTATGGTATGCTCGTACATCCTGCGAAGACTCACAACGCGCAGCATGGCGGAATGTTAAACACACTAATTGAATAAGGGGCCAATATAACAACACCAAAGACCTTGGTATTCAGATAGTCAGTTCTAAGTCAGATTATTCATAATTATTAACGGTTAACATATAAAATTTACAAATATTATTAAAACACGAATTTAAAAAATGTTCATATGTATCGATACATATGAATATCATCAGAACAAGACGTAAAATAATATAAAGTAAGTGAGATATTAGTTCTCCAGCACCCGACTATCATACTTCGAAGTGAGCATAAAAGGGCACCAGGAACACATCGAAAATCAACCTTTTTTGGCAGTACCGCTCTTTACTGTGACTAGTACGGCACTGTTCAAATCATTCGGCGACCAATCGGCAATTTGTTATTGATAAGCTAATGATTTGGACGGAGTTTATTAGCATATGTAAGGAGTAGGTACCCCAAAACCATTAGCCGAGTTGCACCACACGAACCTGCCACCGACCGAGTTTCACTTTACGGACTCACTACCTTCCACCACCAGTTAAACTGCACGGACCTACTTTCCACCACCGCCCGAGCTGCACAACACGGACATAATTTTTCGTCGGAAAGAAAACATATTCACAACGAGATTATCGATACAACTCCACATATACATATCAAGTATAGTTATTAAATATCCAGTGAATTGATCGTAAATTAATGTGTCATTGTAAATGGATAAATAAATTCATCTTTACCTTGTAAACACCTGAAGGTGTTATGTTTGTTATTTTTGTTAATGTGTATAATAACATGTATTAAATAAATAAAATTGTAACAATATTTCAATTAAATCTAGGTAATTAATTAATTAGCTGGCTAATTAATGTAATAATTGAGACTGTTACAATATGATTCCATAGATTGTATATAATTCCATAGCTATTTTATAGTTCCATAAATTGTATATAATTCCATAGATTCTATATGATTATATTGATATAAGATATTATTTTTAAAATCTGTTTGTACATTTTAAATAAATTAAAGTCATTAAGAGTATTTACAGAAAAAAAAAATCATTATAGAATATTTTATAATTTAAAATTTTTTTTAATATTATTTTCTTCCTTTTTGGTATTCAACCATTCAATTTGAATAATAATTTGAAGGCCTTTCACATAACAATGTTTCATTGACTGTTTTTTTTTTTATTGAGTTACTTATTTCTTGTCTATTAAGTACTTGTTCAGATAATAGAAATAGTTCATGATTATTATAGTTCAACTTACTTTTGTTCAATAATACTTTGTCATTTTTATCTAATTTAAAAAAAGCTTTAACACATTTTTGTCGTGCAGTTCAACCGTTCTGTGTTGAAGGCTATCTTCTTTTAAAAACTAAATTTAAAATCTTTTATAATTTTAACACATTTGTCCTATTAACTAAACATGTTTTACTTTGATCCTTTCTATAAATTAATTCAAACATTTTAAATCTTTTAATAATTTATAAAAATAAAATTGTACAATGAGGACGATTGTTAAAAATCAACTAAACAATATTCAATAATTTACGATATCGTATATTATTTTTTATAGTCTGGTTTGGATTACATCTTATTACAAAAAAATATATTTTCTTAATATTTAGTTGTATAGGTATATTCGTATTAAATATGGAATATAAAAAAAGTCATAAATTACGATTTTGAAATTACAAACTTATTTTTATACATCAAGTTTTAAAATGTTTGGAACCACTTGTACATATATTATCTACCCATTAGGCAACTAGTACTAGACCCTTTTCGTTTACGATCAAATTTTAGGTACTTTGGGAGGATATTCGTATATAGTCAGGAGGAAATCGTATAAAAATTATTAACCTTTTTGACTTCGGGAGGCAGTTAGTATATGCCCGAATATCATATCAATTTTTTGTATTGTCTGGCCTGTGAACCTTTTTTTAATTTATGAACGTGGCCCAAGGATCCAAAAAGATTGCCGAACACTAATATAAATACAAAACAGTCGTAGAATTTTCAGATATAATTAACTATA